TCTTTTTTCAAGGTTTTGGGCATCACTTGCTCTAACATAACTTAGCGAAGCCCACGCGCGCAATGAATAAGCAACATTAATAAGCTAGGATTCAGCAAAGCTACGCTGCACAGTCGTTTGCAAAACGAGTCGGCAGGCCTTTTAGTAAGCCCCCGAATCAAAGTCCCGTTAATTCGTTGCTGATTGTCTGGACCATGGCGGGTCTAAGCAGGCCCCCTGCCATATTTGTTGCAGCGCCGGAACTATCAAAGCGGGGGTTTGCCTTCTCTACTCCCGAATACTTTAATCGTGCTTGTAAGTCCCTCATGTAAGATGGGATTTGCTGGGAGTGGCTAGAACTAGCCCTCGCATTTCTTTTCGGAAGTGGAGTGATCCCTGGAAGCAACCCTTCAGATTCCCATTGCCCGCAGATCATGCTTGAAGTGTAAACCTATGAATACCAGAAGCACTTCAGAGTGTTACCCAGGACATGCGCTACAGATACAAATTGCGTAGAGACCCGAACACAGGAAAGTCGATTGAAGGGAAGGAATTGGAACGCGTCAGGCGTCCATAGCCATAGTAGTATCCTGCGGAACGCAACCCATGAACACTCAAACACACGCGGCCTTCGGATGCGTTGCATTCGAAGCCCTGAGCTTCGCATTCTCTTGCACGAGGTGATCATACTCGGCTGTGAGCAGCGCCTCGCTACTGGGAGGCTTTTCGGGTTGCGTGAGCGGTTGTAATTTCAGATTGCTTGGAGGTTCCTGGGACTGAGCAATTTGTTTTGTGTCTTTTGCGTTGAGGCTTTTGCGGTATGGGCGGTTTACAAGGAGGCTGAGGAGCTTGGTAGTTTGGGGAAATGGGGTCTTAGCTCAAATGGTACCTGGGATAGCCTACCAGGGCCACTTCTGAGATAAGCCTTTACCAAAAGTTCGCAATTCACGCATTCTTCAGGTGGCTTGATCGCATCCTTCTCAAATGGTAGAGTTCGGAGAAGTTCCAGCTTTAGGAAACATAGGCATCCTCTGATCCCTTAAGTGGGTTCAGAGTGTAAGGTGATTGCAGACATCCTACAGTACGGCTTCTATCCTAAGCATTATGACAAGACAGGTGCGGGGAATATGCTACTAGCGTGAATGCAAGCATGCTCTTGTGATTTAAGGTGGACTCTTCCCCAGACAATCTGCATGTGCCTATGCTTGGACTGGCCGACTTGACAGATCCCACCATGCAATGTTGCAGGGTAAAAATTCCAGGGGACAACAGTTCCAAAGGTAACGCACGACTTCTAGCCTCGACTATCTGGAACTGGGATTGAACGACACTTGCATAATAGCTCATGTCTGCACGGATCTGTCATGTGGAGTACACTGCGCAATGCTATGATTACCTTGAAAGGCCGCAGTGGGACATCCATAACCTGTGCTAGTGGTACGTCCATGACTTCTACTCGATAAGCCATGCCCTCAAAGACTTCGGTGGTCGATTCGATGTGAAAACTGGGGCAGCAGACCCTGCATTCACTCACACTTGATACTGAGACGGTGCTCAGCGAAACTGTAAAAACAGTCGTGTATTGGGTACTGTAAATGCACTGCGTAGCTCCAGTCTTGAACCCAAAAAACTCCAAGAACCCATAATATAAGTTAGGGTTCTTACCAGCCAATGCTTGGATCGAGTGTTTCTTTCTTTGCGGATGACGACAGCTTGTGCTACGTGGATGTACGATTTCCAGAAGCAACCTCAGAGCTTTAATTTCCCGAGTAGACTGAGACGCTCGACCAAGTCCACGCATCTTCTTTGGGTGTCTGTACAGTATAAGGGAGAATACAACCAAATTTATGGCGAACACCATTCGTAACCATTCAGGCTTCTGCCGTGACATTCAATTTGCCGCCGAGTCGCAAGGTATTGGTAGAAAAGATTTGAAGGATTGGCGCCATTTCTGGCCTGCTCCTTGCGGTACTGGTAGTCCCAATCGCAAAATAAGAGGAACTCTTTAAATGGCCAAATAAGAGGTGGCTTAGGCTACTCAAGTCTGACTTGACTACAAGAACTGATGCCTCCGACCTCCCGCATGACCCAATTCATTCGGGGAGGGGTGTTTGCAGATACTTGCACGTTGGTCTCCAAGCATCTTACTCGCTGGCTTGGAAAAGCTCATAGTTTATCAAACTCATGTTCAAATCAAGGCACTGTGGTTTATCTCCGCGGGCCGCGCCCGTTCACTGGTGTTCATGCCTAAGAACCCTCACCCTGAGCGATATCATCAATTCCGATGCTCTCAGGAGAAAGCGGCATCAAGCAAAGACAGTCATAATAGCAATGGCAATTACATGAGCACGCAACGATGCTAAGAACCTTGAGCGACATCCCAAAGTTCCGTCGTGCCGTGCCTTGTCCGCCATTTTCAGGTGACTGGATACACAGGCCGGCGCTGAAGCAATTACCTTCTTGACGAGGTAAAAGCAGCCGAGCCAAAGGAACTTGCTATGCCAGGCTGGGTTTGATTCACCAGTCGATCCTGATGGATTTGCAGTTGGGGATTCCACAACACGTAAGCTGTCGACTGTGATGAGCTGTTTGCTTCGGCCTTGATGCAAATTTTCGTGCTTGACTTTTATGGCTCGGAGCCAAAACTGCCTGCAGGTCTGAACATCCACACAGAGGCCAGGCCCATCGAAGGCCCAGGGTGTAGGGTTGAATGGCATTTAACTGAATTTCCTTTTGGGCTCTAGCTTGCTGCGGCGCTGCAACGAGGAGGCTGCACAAAATTCGGCAATGTGCAAGCGTTCGGGGAATCCAGACCCGAGGATCACCAGGAGGAAACCATCCTTCCACTATCGAGCAACTCATCGCATCCAGGAGTATCGGCTTACTCTGCATGAGGGCTTCAAGGCGAACAAAGGCAAGAGCAACAGCAAAGGATCTCTGCATTTCATGCAACATGGCCTCAGCACACATATCGTACATCTGTCTCTCAGAGGCTGCACGGTGTGCTGAGCTTCGGTTTTTGCCACCGGCACGCTGATCGCCTCGCTATGTGCTGGCCTTGGCCATGAGCTCACCTCAGCTCAGTTAGCGCATCTCGGCTTACAGCAGATGATCCTGCGTTAGCAGGGGCGGATTTGGGATGTTTGCAGCTGGAAGGGCTTGTCAGACACCTGCTCTAAGGCTTGAACTGTTTCGGAGTAGGTTCCATGGCGTGAGGCGCGGGGAGGTAAGCTAATCACAGGGAGAATTCACGCATCAATCAACTGCAGTTGTGTTCAGTGATCCTTTTGATAAAGGAAAAGCTGTCCCAACTCGAGAGCCAGTCACGGTATGTGCCATACATCTTGCGTGACTTCAAGATCCTCAGCAAGTTGCAGGTGCAGGGCAAGCTTCTGTTGCCCTGGCTCTATCTTTCTCGCTCTTTCTTAGCATCTTCAAGAGACGGTGCACGGCCTCGCCATGGCTCGCGATCTTTCCTTCTTCTGGTGATTACATCTTACTTTGTTCTCTCTCTGTCCTCACGCTGCTCTCCTGCTCTCAATCACAAAAAGAATCTGAAGGAACCATAAGCCTTAAGTCCTGAATCGTCAGGCCCAGCAATGTCAGCTTCTGCATCTGGCGTTCAGACCCTTTAGTGCCAACTGCAATTGGCAGACTGGTACCAACTTTCAAGGCGTCATCACAAGAAGAATCCCCTTTTCGTGCTGTACGGTCCTCCTTTGAACAATTAAGCTATAAGAAGTGCCCCGTGTCCTCTTTTTGAAGGAGGACTCTCTGACGTGCCTCCAGCCCGCAGCCTTGTCTCTTCAAACCATGAACCTGAAGTCCCAGCCCTGAATTTTTTGTATGCGAGCCGTTCACTGAGCTAAGCGAGGAAATGGATTAGAAGACTCTCGTGATTCCGAATGACATTAGATTCACTCCATCCCGCAGCTTCAGATTTACAGGTATCCGTGTGCTTGCCACATTCAAATCAAGGCCCATCTGGGTCCTGCTCAGGTATGTAACCTGTTGTAGGGCGGCTGTTGTATATTTTCAACGGTACATGACCCCGCTTCTAGCAGCTACAACGTTCGGATGTCATAAGCATCTGGTGCAGCTTCGCAGCAGCAGCGCGGTCAACAACACCACGCCCACGAGGATCCTAAACTTGTTGTTCATGCGCTTGTTGGTGAGTTCTAGCCATCTTGGGTCCTGGGCTGCGTGAAAAAAACTACATGACCAGCATCGCCCTTATAAAGGGGCCAAAAAGGAGGCTCACCTCGGAATGTTGAAGAATGTTTCCATGCTCTTTCTTGGTGAGTCTTGCACCTCAAAAGTCTTAGAGGCCCCTTTTGGGAAGGGCAAACACGATAGCCAAGATTTGGCCTATCTTGTGAACTAGTCTTGAAGAGCATGGAAATTTGTGCTTGCGATACATGTGTCAAGCACTAGCTTCCTTCCTTTGACAGTGATTGCAGCCTCCCGCTAGTAATGTTCATCTCCACTTTGCCCACATCATTAGACCTGACTGAGCCTGAGCGGCTGACAGTCTACCTGCGTCTATGCGGGCTTCTCGCGAGCCTGACTGTACCCATATCACTTTCTTCAGTAAAGGGGTGTTAGCGACTGGTACCCAAACAGCAGAGCTCTCTCTTGCGCTAGTGCAGGAGATCAAGCACCAACAGCCCGCAATGCTGTATGTAGTTGTGTTACATACTCCAAGGCCTGCATATTCTGTCCTTCTAATTAGTGGCACAAATCGTCAACCCCAGGCTGTGGAACCCAAAATCATCAGCGCCCCAGAATCCAAACTTGAAAGGCCCGAGCCCCCGCCCCCAAATGCCCAAATCCTTAATGCCAAGCCCAACCACCAGTAACCCCGAAATATGGAATCCTAAAACTTCCAGGCTCCTGAAACCCTTTCCACAAGGGTCTCCACTGCTGCTCTTCTGCCTAGCTCGGCACCACAACACGGTGAAAAATCAAGAAGTGCCGATTGCAAAGCCGAACTCCCTAGCACTGGGAACAAGTCAAGGAGCACGGATGCAAGGGCAGGCTTTTGACGCCAGGACTGCATCAGCTCCTCACAAATGGCATGGGCAAAATTATGAAGGGGAAGACGACCGCGATTGAGCGGCATGCTCGTTTGTACAGTGCAAGGGCTCGGAGAGCCAGTCATAGCAGCCTTATTTAGGGTTCATAATTTTGAGGCTTCGGTTGTGATTGGCATGTGGGTCAAGCAGTAGGTACGCATTTTTAAATACTGAGGATTAGTTTGTTGATGCTCCTTTGGCTGTTTCTTCGGTCTAGATTTTGCAATGATACAGGGAGGAACGCATTTGCACACCTATTTTGACAACCGGAACGAACTCGCAGCTGCTAGTACTTTGTGATGATGGTTATGATGTCGACGGTGATCATGACCACGGCAATGACGACAATGATGTTGTGCATGATGGTGATGTGGTGCTGCTACTAGTGATGGTGTGGGTGTTGGTGGGAGTGGGAGTGGCGGCGGCCGTGTTGTCCTGGTGGCTGCGTTGCTGGTGGTGCTGGTGCTGGTGCTGGTCCTGGTATTTGTAGGTTCAGCACACTAGGATCCAACCAGTATGGCGGGAAATGAAAGAGGGGCCGGGGGAGAATTTCTACAGGAATGGCACTCCTCTATGCACTCCTACAATCAGAACAGTATGCCCAGCCCGAGGGCCCAACACGCATCTTCTCGTCTCCGCGTCCCTCCAGCACCTGAGCCGGGAATTTCTCCTCTCCAGAGAAGCACTAGCAACGCTTTGGGCTTGCTTTCTCAGCCCTATTGCAGGAAGCTACTGAACATCGGTTGATCTCTCCACCCTGGCTTTGAACTCAGTAGTGAGAACGATGGCCATGGTGGTATTGATAGTACTGATTGATGGCCTAGGGCGCAAGGACGCCAACGGGTGTAGGGGCGATAAACACAATACTGCTAGCCTCAGCAATGTGCTGCGACATCGGTTTGATGGACGTGATTTGGATATTTCGGCCTAAGCCTTCTGCACCCCAAAATGCCACGCAAGATCCATAGTGTACCAGCACACAACACAGGGACCCTTGATTTTGAAAACTGTGAACTCGACATGTCCACATTTCAGCCCTTAGAAAAACACCCTTGATCCTTGGAAATCCCTGCGTTGGCTGGCCGCTTTGGCACCTCAGGCAACGAGGCGAGAGAAGAGCCAACCACTGCGCTAAGAACACCTGGGATTGAGTTAAGATGCTTTAAGGGCATATATAGCTGGCAGAACTACAGTTTCCTGACAACACTCCCAAAGCCTGAAGCGCTTTGGGGGTTACGTTCTGTTGAGCTCACCATTTGGGATGAGGTCGGGTGACGTTTCTTACAAGGTGTACGGCCACCATGGGCATTGTCGGGACTTGCAATGAAATTGCCTGAAAAAATCTTGTAAAGGATAACCTCCTTGACGGCAGTCCTGGTATCACCGGGCAGTTTCTGAAATTCTGGGCTAGATGTGGAGTCCCAGTTTCGTGGCAGGACGCTTAACTGGGCAGGAATTTTGCAGGTCTTCAGGGTTCTAAGCTGTGAGATTTTGAGCTTGGGCATCAGGGTGTCGAGATGTGTCGAGGTTATACTGGTGTGGTGGGATTCTGGGATGGGGGTGGGGGCCGTCTTGACTGGCATTCGCGGTTAAGGACTTGAGTACCTTATGTGAAGCTTCAAGGGCTTTACAACGTGTCTGGGTTCTATGGTTGGTTGAAGTGTTTTCTGCCAACTTCAATGACACGAACAAGGTTTGGGGCCATGGCGGCCATGTGTGACGGTATAACAGCAGGATTGTTGCCAGGATAATGTGAAATGTGCAAATGTCTCTTGCAAGTGAGCTGCCGCTGGCTCTCATGCGGGCAAAGGCAGGCAAGCCTAAAAAAAGATAAGTTTCTTGTACACAGTCAAAGGAGGCCTGCCAAACTCTGCATAGCAGCTCTGAACACTCAGCCCCCAGCTTCTGCATCGTACAACGTGAAACCCAATGCTCTCGACTTAGTGTTGCCAACTGCTCCCTTTCACCCCCAAAGATCCTACACGACAACTAAGGTCCCCGTTTCCCCTCATGTTTCTAACGTCAATTTTTGAACCTGTGGACTGCAATGTTGGGACACCGCCCAATTGATAGCAGCAAAGGTTCTCCAGGGTGCTCCGAAAAGGCTGGACGCCAGCAGGAAAGGGCCAAAGGGGACCCCTACAGCCTGGACTCAAGTTATGCTCCGATTCTTGGCTTGGGATTGAGGGGTTTAGGGCCCTAGCCTTTTAGCTCCTTTTTTTGGCGTGATGATGGTGGTGGTGGTGGTGGTGGTGGCGGTGGTGGCGGTGGTGGCGGTGGCGGTGGCGGTGGCGGCGGTGGCAGTGGCGGTGGCGGTGGCGGTGGCGGTAGGTGGTGGTGGTGGGGGGTGGCGGCGGCGGGGTGGTGGTGTGGCGGTGGCGATGGCGCCGCAGCAGCGGCGGGGTGGCGAGGGCGCGGGCGGCGGGGTGGTGCAGTTGCGCGTGCAGGCTGTACAGGTGGCCCTGGCGGTGGCAGTGACTGTGCGGTCGGGGCTGTGTGAGCGGTTGTTGTTTGAGTGGTCGCCGCGCTGGTGGTCATTGTAGCCGTGGGGCGAGGTCGTCATGCTCTGCACCGTCGGCGACGCCAATTGTCTTCTTAGAAGTAGAGCCGTGGGTTATACGAGCACCATTGTTTTCCATGGGCGTCGGTGGACATTGTTCAGAGTACTCAGTAATCAAGAATAAGCGGGCATCACTGATATTGATAACTCTCCAGGCCTGTTTCCGAGGTTGGAGCATGAAGGTGGGGTAGGCATTGCATGTCATGCAGCCATGATGAACTCCAATAGCACTCTCCCAGAATCGGGTACTCAGCTTGCGCAAGGCAGGCGACGTGGCCATGGCAGAAGCTATCAACACCTTTGTTGCAAACGAGACAAGTCCCTCTCGAACTATATCAATGATAAACACTAAATCGGGTTATATCGGGTTCAGCTTCCCGCCCAGGAACCGCAAGCCCCATGGCTTTTGCAGTTGTTGGTATCGGTGCAAACCGCACCATACCTCAGCTTCCACGGCAACATCACCAGCAACCAGCATGTAGCAATTTCCGCAAAGTCGGAAAAGTACACCCAAGCATGAGGATTCAATCTTATTATGGCCTCCCAGAGCAGCAAAAGGCGCCAACACTGAAACAGTCGCATGTAACTTCAAACAGGCACATGCCACTTCATGGAAGGTCATCTCATGAGACTGGCCCTGTAACTGCATCCAACGGTCGACAGGAATTGCCAAGTTGCAGGTGACGCTGAAAGGTTCCGTCTTCACTGCCTCACCGGTACAAACAAAAGCAACCACCTACAATCCAAATGTCGCGCCAGCACGCTCTTTCAGGTGCACTGCACAAGTCGAAATTTTGGCCAACCAACTTGGTTATGACCTGCCCTCGTTTGAAAGAGGATGCTCCTTGAGCCAAATGTACTTGGGACTCCTTAGCCTGGGCCCTGCTGCTCCGTCAATGCTTTTTGTGACATGGAAAAGGTTCTAGAAAATTACTGGTCCTAATTCGGTTTGATGTAGTGCGGTTCTGATTTTGAGAAACTCCCATATCCCAAATGTAGGTTCTTCACTCAGCTGGCATGAGCCGAAGAACCTGCGCCACGGCTTTGAATACCGGGAATTGCGCCACAATGTTCTGCTTGACATACCTCAGGGTTCTCCGACTCACCCAGCGGGTTTGAGAAACCTAAATAGCACTTTCCAGTAAGTAATCCGTATCAGCCCTATCACAGTGCGAGAAGCATCCCAAGTAAAACTACGCAACTACCATTTGCGTATTTTTTGATTGAAGCCGAAGATAAGCACACCAACCCCATCAGCAGTTGAAAGGAAGTAAATGAGGTAATGAATGTAGAAGCCTGCATGATCTCATTCCCCCCATCCTACACGAGTACAGGTAACAAGCTCTTAATTTCAGCTTGCCGGTATTGGGCCCAAGAGGCGCAAAAATGTCCAAACAAACGCGAATCAAGCTTTCCTTTCCAAGAGACACACCAATAGGAACTCTAACTAATTGAAATTTCCACTTGGGCAAAGGGGGGTCGGGAGCGCTTTAGGATGAAGCGGGCGTGTTGCAATCTAGACACCTGACACCGCAACACTGCCTCGAGCGTTAAGTGGTAAGCAAATAACATGGGTCTTCATATGCTACGTATCATCACTATCATCATATATCATCATCAGCAATGCTTTGTTTTTGGAGTACGCGCTTAAATTAAACTGCCCAGATGGTTCTAAATTGCCACAGTCCTAGATCCTAAACATAACACGCAAGGACAGGACCACAATCTCAGCGTGCACCCTCCCTGGCCATGGTACTGCCGAAGCAGCGTACGACCCAGAAGGAAGCCAACGCTGCCTGGACTGCTTAGGCTTGAAAGGTTGTGCGGATTGTGCACGGAATATACTTATCCGGCTTCATAGTGGATAGGTAGTGATGCAGCCTTGATGCTTTCCCTGCAGAGCAGGGAAAGCATCAACCTTTCGCAAGCTCATTGAGCAGCTATCACGATGACAATAACCTCCGCGACAAAGAAACACCCCACAAGACCTGTGCTTGGTCTCCTGTGAGTTACTTCCGGTCTGCGCCATTAAGATGCGTCTTCAGTTCAACCTTCACCAAAGGTGCCAACACTATGGTCCTGCCGGGGGGAGGGGCGGTGATGCAAAGGTTAAGAGCAGCAAATGCAACCAGTAGAGCTAACTGCTCCGTATGGACCAACATGTCTCCTACTCCTACTACCGAACCCGACAAAGGCCGAAAATGGTGCCTGACCGACATAAAGCCAACTATTGAAGAAAGTCAAGCATGATGTGCGAAGGTGGCTCTTTCTTAACCCTTTAGGTGATCTGGGAGTTTAGTCGTTTAGCCCTCAAGGTCCGCACCTGCAAGTTGCTTCGCTGCTGCGGCTAAAGCAGAGGCCCCTGAACAGAGAGGGGCCCGAGGGCCGGGTCATTTTGTGGGCTGCTCGCACTTCCAAGTTTCCCAAAATAACAGGGCCGAAGAATATGAGGCAGAAAGGGGGGAATGCATACGGGATATTCGGAGGAACACCCAACTTAAACCGCTTTGTGGCTTTGAGCTTAGACCGCAGGCGGGATGATGAGGAGCAAAGGACATGAGCTGAACAGTCGTGGAAGGGTTGCATGTCAAGAGCTCTTGCCGGCAGCCTTTGATCCAACGAACGTGTAAAAAAAGCTTGTGCTTGGAAGTTACGAGAGGGCCTTGGACTGACCAGGACCAAAGGGTATCTGTTTGTCAAGAATTGCCATGCAGCAAGGTCTTCTGATGAGTGGAACGCATAGGGGCATAAAATGACAACTCCGGAAGGGGCCTGGATCAGGGCAGATGCTACTGATCTGGTTACATTCCTTTTCATACATGCTACAGACCTCAAACAAACCCTCGGAAAAGTGGCGCTGTCAAGGAGCTCCTTTAGCTCTGCTCGGTGTCACGAGGTCTGGTGAAACATAATTGGCGTCTCCTGAACGTCGCTCTATCAGCGAGCACCTTGCAGGCGAGTCGTTGAGGCGAGCTCGGAAAATCAGGAGCCCTTGGTCACCCGCAAGTGTGGAGCCACCTGCAACCGCAAGAATTCCCGTCCGCGAAGTGCCCACGACTTCTGGATGCCTGAACTTCTGGCGTTCGAACTCTCCACCCGCCAGGTAGGCTCAAGAAACACAAGTCCCTTTCCGCGATGGACCCAGCGAGTTCCTGTAGAGATGTCCTTTAACTTGACATACTCGTCGTCCTGCAGTACTATCGCCTCTCTCACTGTTGAGGCCACATCATAGGGGCCCGGAAACCAAATACAAGGGCCCTTGACCAGTGAAGAAGCCCCGGACAATTTGTTCAGGACAGACAGGTACTGTGTACATGTTAGGCTGGTGCTGGCACCCTTTGTCCACTGGTCGTGGGGTCCCGGAAACCACATGCACGGGCCTTTGTCAACCCGTCTTTCCCCGGAGAGGACATTCTGAACAGTCACATGCTCGGTGCCACTGAGGTGGACGGCACTCCCCTGTTCCCACTCTTCGTACGGGCCTGGGAACCAAATGCAAGGTCCTTTCTCAACCCGCCTTGCTCCGCTAAGCAGGTCTTCCACGCAAAGATACTCCGAGCTGGAAAGCCGGACGGCATTTAGCACCTTGCCTTCTTCTCGCGGTCCTGGGATCCAGACGAGGGGCCCGCGCTGCACCTTCTTTTCGCCAGTCTGCCGGTCCTCAATGAGCACGTACTGCATGTTGCTCACGCTCACTCCCTGCCCGCTCGCCTGCATCTTCTCGTAGGGACCTAGGAAAAACAACCGTGGTCCGTGCACAGCACGCTCACTGCCATCCATGGCATCGCGAACCCGCACGTAGTCCAGGGGACCTAAAGTCACCGCCTTCACGATTGTACTGGTCTTGAACGGATTGATGCACACGAGCCCAGGGCCATTTACCACGTCTACTGTGGTCAGATGCTGGACCCGCAGCTGCTCATCCATTCGCAAGAATCTCACAGGCCAGAGCAGGTTCAGCACTATGTTCAAAATCAATAAAATGGCACCTCAACAGGCTCAAGAGTCGATTCACAAGCAACATAGCCAGAAACGAAAAAAGATTGCCTATGAAAGCTTCGTTCACACACCCTCCATCCAGAGCACTTGTGCAAAGCTGCGCGTAACTCCTGGAGGTCTGCACCATGGGCGCCACCTCTCTGGGTGACTCCCTTGGTGCCAACTCTCTCGCTGGCCGGAACACCTCAAGCTCTCCCTGAGGCCTCTGTGCTGGTACCTTGGCTGTATACTGAACATGCCAGAAGTATATGAGGTGTCAAGAGATTCCCGTTACGGCTGTTCATGACTTACATGAGTACCCCTAAAATGCAGCTTGGCTCCTTCAAGGGTCATGGAACTTCTGAACTGCAGCTTTCTGGATCGTAGCCAGTCCACGACACACGTCATATGGAATAGCCCCAAGTCGCATTTTGAGCTCATATATGTTGCGATTGCTTGGTACTGTCTTGGAATCTTTGCAAATTCTGCGGCCCTGGTTTGTGCTATGAGCAGAAAGTAGGTGTATTGCCTCGAACTTCGCAGGCCTGCACGAAATCAAAATGAGATCTTCCCCTATGAGGTTACTGCAGCTCTGGCCAGAATCGCCAGGTCTTCGTCGTTCAAGGGTTGTTGCTAACAAAGCAGCGAGCATGTTGCTAAGAATCCTGGACCATAAACTTCAAACAATTAGTCCTGTATGCCCTGTAGAATGCCCAATATGATCCTAAATCCTTTCATAAGCTTTGCATTCCAAGTACCCAGTCTGGGGGCCGGCCACAGGTGATACACTTGTCCGCCTCGATGGAGTTCCGCTGCATGCACAACTTGCAGGACCATGTCACGGACATCTTGGTGCTATGCCCTAAGCCAGGGGGGCAAACTCTTGCATCTCGGTTCATCCGGGTTTTGTTGATTTCGATAGTCTGAGGCCTGTTCTAAGTTGGTGCGTTGCTTTGATTCTATCAACTTCTGCTTTTGTACTAAGCAAGATACCCAATTGTGCTCTTCACGTGCCTTGGCTTCTGCTTTGCCGAGTCATGCTAAGCGATTAATTATCTGGCTCCCAAAAACTGCAGCCGCAAACGGAGAGCATCAGGCGATATCATCTCAGGCAGAGGTCTCACAAGCCCCAGGCACCCATTGGCTTGTTTGTGCCGGATAGAGTCGAGGTTGGCGCCGCACCCTCCAAACCAATCTGGCTGCAAGAGAATTTCCATCGACGAATTATGTGTTCCTCCCAAATCGAGGCTTCTCTGCTACCTGGAACAAAATGACTCCTGTCAAACTTCTGGATCTAAAGTGCTACTTCTGCGAAGCCCCTCTCACGTGTGGCTATGGCAGTGCAGTCTGTCAGCTGTCTCTGTTCCCTGGTGCTGGAAAGAGCAATTAAGTAAAACATAGAGCGTACCTCGGGACTTCCGAGTTCATATTCCTTCAGCGCCCTCAGCATAGAACTTGAAGACCCTAACCCTACGGTTGATGGCAGAAACCCTGCCCACCTTAATCAAATGCCCGCAGTCTTGGAAGTGCAGTAGTATGGGTACCCCGGGTGCAGGATTTCCATCAACTATACTACTTCAGCAATTACGAAACGCGTGTAATGCGAAATAACATTTTTGAGACTGCATGGCATAAGCTTGCTCGAACGTGAACGTTTTCGCCCTGAGGCCTATGCACATCTAGAGACGTTTGTGTGCACACCAACAAAAAACATAGAGCCCCCCCTCGCAACAGCGTCTTGTTGCCTACAAGGCCGTAGCGGCGAGTGAAAAGAAGCCCAGCGGCCATTTCCAGCGGTCCTGCAGCGGCGTTTCAGGATGCTCTTTCCAAGGGCTTGGGGTTTAGGATATCCGTCTTGTCAAAGGCCTACATAAGGTTCAGTGATGTAAACAGTGAAGCAGATGTTTCAAAGCTAGCTGCTTCGGCCCCAGGCTTTACTTAACTACGATGTCATTAAGATTTACACCTTTGCAAGTTGTTGCTCCGACGCACTTAATGAGGCCTGAAGGGTAGGTCGGAGGTTCAGGCTCAGAATGCTGCTTTGGGGCCTCTGGTCGCGGGCCTCAGGATCTGGGGCTTCTTCTGCCCGTGAGAGTCACAAGCGCGCA